TATAAAATTGCCGTAGACACAACTTTTTCAAGTAACTTTTTGTTAAATTCGATCTAAAAATTCACTTTTTCAATTTTTTTTCAAAAAAAAAAAGTTGAATTTGACAAACACTGAACGTCAGTGGGTCGCAGTTGGCCTCATCATTTTAAGTTAAATTTAAAGCACAAACAAGTGCCGAAGTTAAACTTCATTGAAACTTTTCGAAAAAAAAGTTTCCCATATGATGCGCACTTTAATGGTGACACTGTATAAAAATTAGGTATATGAATATCTCAATCAACTTTTTTTGTAAGAATACTTACTCTCTATGAAATCTAAGATTACCTGATGTGGTTATCGTGAAATGGTTTAATAGAAATTCAATTTCGCCTGTCTACTCTCTTGGAAAATATCATTTCATTTTCTGAATAAACACTTGAGGTTCGCTCATATGGAGCAGGTGGTATTAACGACTCATGCTATTAATTTTTGTTTAGAAAAAAAAACGTGTTATTTTTACAAAAAAACTTCATGAACTATTAGGCTTGAATTTGGAAATGATGGAAACATCAACAGTTTTTGATGATAAATATAATAGTTATTTTGATCTTAATTTGAATTATGTGATGGAATCGGCCGATACTTGATGAAAATCCCTAATGTATTGAAGAAACACTTTATTTTGAGATCCTCACTCTGAACAGTTTTATAAAAACTCAACCCGTGTTTCGCTATACAGTGCGCATCATAAGTGTTACCCCCTATCAAACTCTTGTTGGGAAAATCGCCGAGACACGTCGAGACACTTTCTACAGTGAACATTTTCGTATGAATAGTTCACCACTAATTTCATCCCTCAATGGAGGGGAGCAGCCCTGTCGAAAAATTTAAATAGCATGGGGTTGTGAGTGATGAGGGTTTTATTCCCTATTTAATCGTGCGAATAATTACACCACAAACAGAAAGGCAGCTAAACTAACACTAACTTTTTCTGTTATTACAGTAAATGTTCAAAATGTTCCCCGGTGACCTCCAGGCAAAATAGAGTATATTTTCAGTTTCCTGACGTTTCGCAAAGAATCGCGACTAATTGTTGCACACACTTCCATAATCCGCGCACGCTACTCCTGAATATAGTGACACTGAGTCTCGTATACTTTAGATTTTAGGCAATTCCATACGAAAAAATCTGAAGGAGTTAGATCTGGAGCTCCATCTTGTTGCAGAATAATGTCCATGTCAAATTCACCTAAATTATTTTCGACAGTTGCCACTATAAGTGGATCTATCACTGTTTTCAGCATTTCCAAATAGAGGGCCCCAGTCAGAGTTTCCTCAATGAATAACGGACCCATAATGTGGTCACCCAGAATTCCTGCCCACACAATAAATATTTGGGGAATCTGGGTATGAGCTTCGCAAAAAAGTCGAGGATTTTCATTGGACCAGTACCCCACATTTTGTCTATGTAGGTGACCGTTTGAAACAAAAGTAGCCTCATCACTGAAACAAATTCGACGATTTTCCTAACAAGAGTCCAGTAACGAATTAGATAGGGGGAAAGACTTATGATGCGCTCTGTATAATAGCTTTTTTCTGGCGTGTCTATACAGTATAGACACGCCATAGTATATACATGGCAATAAAATGTTTTTTAAATACTGTAACGTACAGACACAACTAACCGTGGTATAAATACTACTCTCAAAGAACAGGAGAATAAATAATTGCCCTTCCAACTCAAATTGAGTATATGAAAGAAACATTATATTGAAGAATATGTCGTTCACATTAACAATTAATAAATCATTAATCTGACAGTTCAATAAACAAACCAATAAACAGACCAATTTCTGACAGATACTTTATATCAATATGAAAGATCTGTATCCCATTTATACATGTCTTTCGCAAAAACTTCAGATATGTAACTAGTGAAAAATTTTCTATCTATGATGACAACCACAACCTAAGAAATTTTTCTTCTTGGATATGATTTCAATTTGTGAAAATCAAAGATATAACTGCAAACTAAGGATTTTAACTGCTTGATATTTGTTATTCTGAACCACACAACATCCATGTTTGGGCTTTCTAGTTTCATTCATTGTGAGATTACGAATTCCTCCTTGAAATGAACAAAATTGTGAAAATCATATCCACAGTGAACCATGTAGATTAGTTCAATCCATATCGGTTGAGTTCTGTCTGCTTCAAGACCAAAAAAATTACGGCTTTTTTCTGACAATGGTAAATACTAAATATTTTATGTTCTCGTTGTGAAGGTCTATGTTCAATTCGGGTAACTGAGAATAGTTGGACAATATTAGTGTTTTGAAGTTGGTGAGTCGGTAATTAATGTGTAGGTCACTTACTTGGCGACATTCTAAACGTCTATAACTTTCAATCACATCTTTATAGCAGTGGGACATACCGAAAACTTATTCTTTGTTCTCTAAGAAGACATTGACGCGGAGAGAAAATCCTCAATGAAGGCCATTATTTTATCACTCGGTTAATTGACAACAGAAATAATGGTTTTTTTCCTTGAACCAAACTTCTAACGGGGACTACCGAACTTTGAAAATTTCTCGATGAATAGTTACGTTAACAAATAAAATCGTAAAATTTGGAAAGATATCAATACATATGAGATCCAAGAGCGTCCAATGCATCTCGAAGAAGTCACTGTTTGGTGTGGATCAGTCCATATTTCTTTGAGAACGACGTTAGCCAGGCCATCACTGTCAACGGCGTACTCTATAGATCGACGATTACCAACGTATTTTGCCCTGAATTGGATGATCTGGACACCAACGACATGTGGTTTCAACAGGACGGCGCTACGTGCCATACAGCTCATGTCACATTGAATATTCCGCACGAGAGATTTGAGGACGTGGAGGTGTTGTGAACTGGCCATCGAGATCTTGCGATTTGACCTCGTAAGCCACAAACAACAGTGGCCCTCAAAACAAAAAAATCCATGACATCGGTCAACTTCAGCAACAGTGCATGGATGAACTCAATTCAATTTTTTGCGATGAAGCTCCATCAAGGACCAGTGTTTATCGATAGTATGGTGAATTCAATTGTAGTCGTAGTTCACTCCAAGACGAATTTCGTGAAAGTCGTCCAAAATCAGTTGTTGTTCCGAAAACCATTGATGCTGTGCGCCAACTGATTTTGCAAGATTTTCTTGTGACCTATCGTGAGTGTACGTTAAAAAATACAAATGATATAGCGAAAGTACATAAATGGCGTTATCAGTGGACTGTAATTTTAATTGTAATTAATTTCGATACGAGAGCATCAAAGTTACCTGATAGTTAGAGTTTTCCTCTTGGATAAGCTGCAATGGGTTTTCTCAGGAGCTCCTGGGAATGATTTCCAGCTAACTTAACTGTTGATGCATATACTCTTCGACACAACATTCACTAAAGGGATAAATAGCGGTATATCGAGGAGATAGCGAACGAACTGATTATATCGTTTTCAAAACGGTTGCGATTCAACTTCAAAATCATTCACAACACTAAATCTTCTTTCTGGTAAGTCATAAAAAAAAACAAACAAAAAATTTGAATGCTCGGTCTCGCGATAAAGACATCGAACTGAAAATTGAAATGTTGCCGGTTTTCCGAACAGTGAGATTGAGACAATCTTAGGCATTAGTGGGACCAGCATACATTCAATATTGCATAAACATTTGACTGTTGAAAAAATTTGTTCGCGTTGGATTTACGCGTATGAGCCCAAAAGTAAACAGCAGTCGACTATATGCGTGTTTCAATATGAGACAAATGATCACCTGTTTTTTCGGAAAAACTGGACATGTCGCAACCGTACCACTAGAACAACGCAGAACAATCAATTC